CAGAGGCAGCATCGATGACCTGTCAGGTGGCTCACGGTAGTGTTCATTACAAACTGCCCAGCCTCTCTGGGTCACCGTCCCACTGCTCAGATCATGCTCACTGGCAAAACTTTTTATTTCCACACAACATTTTTTCAATGCTGCAAGAGCTCTTGCCCTTTTTTAGAGCTATTCCTCTGACCTTAGCTCCTCTTAGACCAGCACATGCCAGGCCCCATGCGCAATCTCTAAACAAGCAATTAGGAAACCTGAGTTCATAAGCACGAATGATCACAGTGCGGCTACAAGGAAGGCCCACAAGGTGTCAGCAGCCTTTTGTGTCTTGCCCTGGCAAGAGCAGTGCTGTAGACCTGCAGCTTCCTGGTGGATAGGAGACAGCCTTCTTCAAGCAAGAACCTCAAACTGTCCCATTCATGGAGGCATCATGGAGGGATAAACAAAATCAAGGAGCTGTCAAGGAGATAGAAAAATGTGGGAAGACAAGGAAGGGAGGGCAGGACAAGCACCGCTTTGTCCAACTAGGATAGGGAAGAAAAGGAGCACGTCTGCTACTTGTTCTGTCAACACACACAGTAAACAGAAGCTTTGATTTTCTGGTCAGAACTATTAAAAGAGCCATAGCCAGTAACTCATTTTTGGATTATTTTTCCCCATGTTATATTCAGGCTGAAATATAGCAGTAGAAGCTTAATACGGTTTAAAGGGTTACAGTTAACTCGCTGCTACCCTCACTGCTAGGTCGATGTTTGGGATGCAATAGTGGTGGAAACTGAAATTACAGATAGGACAAAGCATACAGGTTGCAACACTGATACAGGATGAATGGGAGGAAAGTCAGTGACTCTGCAGTCTGCAACATCAGAAATTCTCTGCCCTGCAAAGCCCACGCGTTGCACAACACCGGGTAAATGAACTGCAGCAGGCTAATGGCACAACTCAGCATCTCAGAAACAAATGGCATTCTTTTCCTCCAATAACTGACAGAAAAGCAAAGTAGCTCCACTGTTAGCTGCACTGGGAAACACAAGAAGGGATTTTAACAAGTCCTCCGTACCACCCTGTTCCTGCTGACAGCCATGGACATTCAAGCATCTTAATGAAGCATCTTTACAAAGCCAATGCTAGGCTCTCGTCAAAACCCCCCCAAATAAGGCTTCTCATACTTGTTTTCCTAATACTTTTAGCAGAGTGTAGAAAGCATGAAGAATTCGTTGAGTTTTGCTGCCCAAATGCAATGTGTTTGACTAGCTATTGATGCTGAAGCTTTCCAAAATTAAGGGGCTGGAACTTGAGTACAGCGTAAAAGACATGTCAGGCCAAGCTTGTTGCATGCTGAGGACAAACAATCAAACCCTGAACTGCAAGTACATGTAGGGCAAACGCAAAATACTGAAGCAAGAGAACTGAAAGGCCTAATATCAGATCTCAGGCTTCATGAAATCCATTTTAAGCACAGTAAGACACAGATCACATGGAGATACTTTCACTGAAAAATCAGTCTTTTATGAAAAACCTCTCTCCCCACACCTAAAACCTACAATCACCATTGTCACTTTCTATTTCCCACAAAACCTTCAGCGTCACTTTTACTCATTCTTGCTGGTGTCTGAAATACACAGCACTTTGCTCGTATCTGGGTCATCCACACTGAGAAGGGGAATCCTATTATCATTACTCCTTGTAGTGGAAATGAATGAATTTGTACAACCAGCTCAAGTTAGTATTCAAGCTCAGATATTACCATGATGAGCAACTGCCAGCCACGTGCAAAAGGACTAAATGCCTTTAATCCAGCCAGTGCAGAGACACAGCAATGAGTCTCCTGGTGGGAGGGATCATTCCTAGGATATATGGGAGACCACAGTGCTGCCTTTTCATCACCTCTGCTGCTTTTTAATACAGATGGAACAGTTAGAAAATGCATGACTTATTGTTTTACCCAGAGGGATACAGTATATGAACCATCAGTTTCTGTTTTGCAGACTGAGAAACAAGCAAACAACCCTAATGGGGAAGTCAACAAAAGCCCTTCCCTTCCTCTGCTTTGGCTTTGGGTTAGGATGAAGCTTCGGGTAAAGCACAAAGCAAACAAAAATCAATTCTGTCTCAAAAGCCAGCAATCACTCTCTTTAGCTCTATAACTTGTGCTACCACTCAGTCACAAAGGAGTCCCTCTAAGCAGAACACCTCTGCCTTGCACTGCACTTGTAGTCAGTGCAGAACTAATTAAAAATACAATAAAAATAATAAATGCAGAATAGACAAGTTACAGAACTGCTGCATGACCTGAAACCCCTGTAAGGACCAACTCTGGTTGAATGCCTCAGCCTGATTTAATACTGTGACTCAGGACACACTTCATTATCAATCTTCTGTTATACCTCAGTGCGTTTACAAGTGTGTTAATTAAACCACATCAACTGCTGGGTGGAAAAGGGGAAAACTGCAAGCAGTGTTATGGTCTTGCAGACTATGGCTTCCATCTTTTAACTGCAAATGCATTTAAAATCATCAGTTCTCACTTAAATCATCAAGTCCTCGGTGCGTAAATCCCTTTTTAACAAAGCTAAAGGTGTTTGGGAATTTGCACATATACAAAATTGTTCTGAATTACATTTACTTCAGTAATGCTTAATACTTTCAGTTTTGGAGTGGCCACAATTCAGTTTATCTCTGTAAGTTACATCAACTTAAACACACTAATTCTTACCATGGAATGAAATTATTTATTGCAATAAAATTAAAAGCAAGTTCTCAGACTGCAGTCGCTGTCTTTAGTTGGCAGTAAGACCAACTCTTTTGCTGGCATTATGGAGGAGGCCTACTTCAATAGGCTGCAGAAGTCTTAGGGAAAGTAACTGGAGAGTGAAAGCACAATCTCTTGAGTCCTTCAGTTTTAATCCCAATTCCTTTTCCAACTCTGCCTTGGAATGATGGCATGCAAATAACTGCAGTTTGGGGAATCTACTTCCAAATTCCATCTTCCATCTATGCACACAAACCTTCCTATGGATCGCTCTGCCCCACTGCCATTGTTGGGATGGGGGGAGGGTTACAGAGAAACCATCAACAGGAGATGCACCATGGCAAGATGCTGTTGGATGTATGGATGCATTATAAAGCAGTGTGGCCCAAGACTATACTGGGAGAACAAGGTCAGTTCAGGACTGTATTTTGGCTCCTGGCCCCAGCCTGCTCCCAAAGGAGCTTTTTCTGGCAAGGCAAGATTTAGTTCAGAACTGCATTCCCATTGCATGAACAGATACTGAGTGCTGGATACACACACCTCCTCCATATATAGACAAACGTTTGATAAACAGACAGAAAAACAAAAAGAGACCATTTCTTGGAAAACTGTCCATAGTTTTCTCCACTTAGAAGTGCTGCACTTAATTCATTCAGGGCTCGATCCTTATACACACAGCAGTGTATATTGCCTCATCAGAGCTCTACTCACAAAGCTATGCATGTATGTGTCCATTTGCAGCACTAGCCCTAGACTCACACTTCTTTTAAGGTGTTTAGAAATCTAATACATTTTAAAGCATTTTAAACTTAAGGATTTATGGCTCCAGAACTACAGAAAATAGATGGCATTGCTGCAAGATAAGAAACCGATTTGTTTTAAGACATCTTTATGCATTCATGTCCTAAGAATATTTTGGTGTTTCAAAGGGCTGTGAAACACATTTGCTCTTCCACTCCATCTGGTGAAGGTTTGCCTACTTTTTTCCAAATTATTCTGGGCCTCATTTATACAGTGAAATGTTTTATCACAGCAAAAAATCCAAGACTTTGCTTTTATACCCTTTATCCTGCTGCAATGCCCAGCAATCCTGATCAGCAACTACTGAGTGTCCTTCAGGTGCAGGCAGTAAATGCAAATTTAGCAAAGAGCACTTATCAAATATAAACACAGGGTCTGTGCTCCCAGGATTATCTGATTTTCCCTTGCTTCAGAAAAATCTGTGAGGATGAAATCCTAAATTTATCTTTCAGCCACATGACAGCAAGGGGTGTATGGTACTGCCAGCACACAGGTGGTATTTAGTGGGACATCAGGATGTGCAATGTCAGAACCATTACTAAATGAGGCTGTTTGTCTGACTGTATCTTGCACTTTTAAGGACGGGTAGCTCAGAGCCAAAATGGCACCCATCTAGTGCTGCTCCACCCTTTGAGCAATGTTTTTTCGCCACCTGTCTGGTCTGAATTTCCCAAGCCACAGCTTGGGTCTGCTCCCTCCATTCTGTCACCCAGAGAAGGGCTCTGCTCCACCATCTGCATTAACCTGCAGGTGCTCACAGATGGCAACAAGATCCCTCCATGAGCTCTTTTCTGGGCTTAACAAGCAATATAATTTTCTTCCTTCCTTGTACTTATCCCTCCCTGCCTGCCTTTGCCTCTAGCACCTTTCTTAAATTAATTATCAAGGTATTTTATGCTGCAGAGGAGCAACATTTGGAGCCTCCACTGGGACTTGCAGCTTTTTCTTCTGCAGCCCAGGAATGCGAACACATGGCCCAAGCAAAGCCTGTGACACATGCTCTTCTGGGACAAGTTTTATAAATACAGTTTTACCTCATAGCCCTAGTATTAAACATTTGGATTTCCAATTCTCTGGGCTTGCAGCTCTGCCCCTCTGCCCCAGCTATGCCTGTTTCCCAGATGCTCGTGGTGATGCAAACAAATATCTTCTGTCTCTTGGTGCTTGGTGGCCAAGCCTAACACGTCCTCCTTCTGATCTCCTTTATATTTCTAGCAACGTGGGCAGATTAAGGACACAGAAGTGGTTACATCACAGCTGTCAGATAACCCTTCACTGAGATGTAGTTCCATACAGAAATCAGAAAAAGAAGTGCCCAACACCTCACGCAGCAAGTACCTTCTCAGTGCAAACACAGGCATTTTAGGGGTAAGCTCATGCCAGCTTCAACTATGCAATTAAAGATAGGTCAGGAAATTCAAAGGCAACAAGAAAGAAAGACCTTACACAATACCTTCATAGGTGCGAGCTGAATGGGAGTGATGCATGATGGGTCCACCATAGGCTTTGGCCTGTTGGCCGTGTCTGCCAGCAAGCTGTGCCATTGCTGAGGTAGTCCTGTGAACTTCTGCTCCCGGTGGTCAAAGCCAGTATGGACACGATGTTCGAAGTTAGAGGGCCCAGAAATTTCAAGCCTTTTCTTTTTCTTTCCGAACATGGTGGAAAAACCTGGAGAAGTAACAGGGGAAAAAAACATCTTAATGCTTTGCTGCAGCCATTAGCTGTTCCCTCTGCCGTATGGACAATTCTGCTGGATGTTGTCAACCAAATACCTACATAGATCTTCCTCCAAGCGTACCAGCTTTGAGGTCTACCCCCTTCTCAGAGGACGTTCTACAGAGAAATCTCCTTTTGAGATTTCATAAACTTAACTAAGTCTCTAATCTACACATGTTAATGATACCTTCTGAAAAAAGGAACTGCCCCCATACCCAGAAGAGAAAGCCCCAGGTCTTACTTCCTACTCCTTCCTCTTCTGGCCTGCTTGCACTGCAAGGTACATCCCACAAAAGCTCACAGCCCCGAGCTTTACAGTTGCAGCCCTATACTGCTTTGCTCAAACAGCAGCACCCTGACACACCACTACAACAAACACACAGCTTCACATCTTAAATCTATATACTACATCTCACAGAAAAGACAACTCAACCCAGCTGAGAGCCTGGCCCCTGTATGTTCATAGCTAGATTGCACCCAGCAGCAGTGAAAGCAGATTTTATTCTCACACTGCCATTTTAGATGGCGTGTACAGATCTAACACTAATCTGGCCTAAGTGCCTTCATCTGCATTTGTAAAGGGTCCTGCTTCACAATACTATCAGATGCCATAATCATTACTTTCACATAGCACCAGTTGTCATTCTGATGGCAACAAGGTCCTTGAAAGACAACAGTGCATCTCCAAAGTACCTGGGTTTTTGCTTGGGTGGGTGCAGCTTGTTGGCTTGGGACCAGCACCCTCAGGTGGGATTAATTACAGCAAATACCCTACTCATTCAGAAGTGCATGATGGAGGAATAGCTCATTCTTTTTTTTTGCAGATGATGCACACTATCTGCATTAATCTGGATGGGAAGAGAGAAGTCCCCCTGCTACCAATCCACACAAGCTAGGAACTGGAGGCTGTCAGAGGAACAGTGACTTTCCATGCTTGTATGCTGCTGGACTGACCAAAGTTGACCTGGCTGTCTGGTAAAGCTCTGCTACAGCATTTACTCTGCAGAAACTGAGGTTTTTTGATCAATTACATTAGTTACTTCATGGCATGATTGGAGGCTTGTTAATCAAAATCCTTCTGTTATTCTCAAGGTGTTGTTAGCACCCTGGGATGGTTAAACCATACATTACATCCTATTTGTGATGGAAATTCTCCCAAACTTACTTTCTCACACTTAGACCTCAGATGTTTTTTTTTGCAATGCATGCCACAGCCTTGCATCAATTCTAGAAGGAGGAGCTCAACCTGTGTTTCAGGGACTGGTGGACTCTTTTCTCATGGGAAGTGCAAGTGCAACTTATTTAGCATCACCACTATTTAGCACTACTTATTTAGCATCGCTGTGGCTGACCAGAGGCACTCTGTGTGGAATATTCTGCTCCAAACTACTTGTTCAAATAAGCTTACAAATGTCAGTGTGGCAACTTGCTCCAAACTTGATTCTGACTTTGTGTGGATTTCAGCTATCTTTACACTATTTTGTGGTTCAGCTTCATTTTGGCTGTCCCTAGGATGACAGTGAATTGGTCTTTCTCCCAGGACAGCTGAGGAGGCAGCAAGAGGGTCTGCAGAGGGTATGCGTGGATTGCTGGGGCATGAAAAGTTTCAGGGTAAAGTGGAAAGAGGAATTAACTACAAATCAAAAGGGAATAAAGTATTTGCTCACTGTGTCAGCACAGGAAACAGTCAACATGTTGACCATTTGGATTAATCCTTGGGTTTCTGGGTCCCACCTTAAACCAGAGCACAGTCCAGTGATAATGCAAGTTCAGAAGTTACTTTTACAAAGGATTTGAGAAAACTGATGCCTAAGGAAGCAGGAGAAATCCCTGGCCCCAGGGAAACAAAGAAAGGTCCTGCTGCTTTTCAATGAAATACAGCCCTGTTCTCAGAAACCTCTCTGCTTGCCTCAAGACAGCTCTCCACCTTGATCTTGCAGCCATTTCAAGTGGGGCTTCCTAGGTCCTAAAGCAGCTGAAACAAAAGTATTTGCCTTAAACAGCAGCTACACGAAGAGGCTGTAAAGACACTGCTTCACCTTTATGACTCAGGTGAAGAAAATACAGTCGCACTGCTGCCATTGCAGATGAGATGGGATGATAAATCAGGTTTTTGTTCTACTCTCATTCCACCTTACTATTTCATTAATAGATCAAGTCTGTTATTAGGAAATTGATACCTCCCCCCATACATTTGCAAGTGACAATGTCTCCCTTGTGTGTGTTTTCTTTAGATGGGGCAGACATGCTTCTGTTGGCCCTTTTTTTTTTCTTCTTTTTGCAGGTCTCATCTTCTCAGGCTTCATTTCCCTTCCTTGAACTCCCTCCAAATTTGCCCTGTTTGACAGTCTCTCCATGTCTACTAACCTGAATTGTCTTCCTCACCTTTTTCTCCTGAAACATATTATAACCATCACTTTGCTACCAGGCCCTTTTTCCACTTCCAACATTACAACCCTTTTATTTTTCTTACTGATGGTACCATGCAGCACTTGCAGAAATGTTTCCAGACTAGCCCAAAGTCTTAGCAGTTGAACTCTGTTACTCACTTTGAAGGCTAAAACAGAAGCAGCCAGCAGTTCAGGCACCATTCATCCATGGGGCTCCACTAATCACAGCTGGCATCAGATCAATGGCACTGGATTGATTTCATTCACCCTCTGGGATTTGAATCTGTAAGGCCTATTGGAGTTGTATTTTAAACCAGCAGCACTAGAAATTTGCTTCTTCATCTAATGAATGCCATACTTGCATGGTTTCCACTCCAGACTTATTCCCTAATGCAATTACTGGTTGCATGGAACCATTCAGAGCCAGTAGGTAAAAGCTCATCAGCTAGCAATGGTACATATTGCCTTTAAAAACAATAATAATTCAACAAAATGTTATTAGAATTACAGAGTATGCCAAGTTGGCAGGGACCCAGAGGAATCAGTGACTCCAACTCCTGGCTCCACACAGCACCACCCAAGACCCAAACACAGTGCCTAAAAGTCCTGCTCCCTGAGCTCCAGCAACTCCATGCTTGCCCTGGGCAACCTGTGCTGTGCCCACTGCTCTCTGGGGCAGACCTGTCCCTAACCACCACCTGCCCCTTCCCTGACACAACTCCATGCTGACCCCTCAGAACAGCAGAGAGCTGAGCTCATCACTGCTCCCTGCATCGTGAGGAGCTGCAGCTGCCATGAGGCCTCCCCTCAGCCTCCTCTTCTCCAGGCTGTTAAACTGTGTTTTGTTATACTGCTATCTTCCAATTTTAAAATACTACTGCAGATGAATGTAAATGTGAAATCTGGTTCAGTGACACTTTTACTTTCTCAGTAGAATATTTAACTCTCAAATATGATGCTCAGGCCACCGTTCACATAGGGGCAGCAGTAGAAGCTCTCCCTTTTGACTGCAGCTCATGCTTACATTAGCTTAAATCGACCGTGAAGCTCTAGCACAGAGACAGGGATACCAGCACCTCATACAACAAGAGACAGATTCAGCCATGCAGGCAAAAGCACAAATGCTGTGCATCTCTGTGGCTGAAGAGCATCTCCCATGGGGCTGTGTCCATTACAGGTGTCCTGGAAACCCTGCTGATAGCATCTCTGACACCACTGGAGTGGGGCAGGAGGGCTCTGGGCACCGCAGGCTCTTCACCAGCTCTTCAAACAGCCACTTGGCACTGTCAAAAGGAGCACAGCCCTGTCTGGCTCTTAATGGCATCAATAACAAATGCTGTGTGCTGCCTCTGCTTCATTAGCCAGCAAGGTCTCTGTTTCACTGCAAAGCAAAGCTGACCTCTCCTTACCACACTCCCTCTGAACAACTGGAATTAATACACACAGCAATACCAAGCAAACTTCATTTCCTCTGATTTTTCTCTAAGAATAATAATAGGATCATTACAGTTGGAAAAGACCTTAAAGATTATCTAGTCCAACCATCCACCTGCCACTAATACTGTCCATTAAACCACGTCACTAAGTACTACATCTAGCCTTCCCTTAAACACGTTCAGGGATGGTGACTCCATCATCACAAGAGGAGCCTGTTCCAATGTCTCACCACTCTTTTGAAGAAGAAATTCTTCCTAATATCCAACCGGAACCTCCCCTGGTGTAACTTGAGGGCACTCCCTCTAGTCCTATTGCTATTTATTTGAGAGAAGAGGCCAATCCCTCACCCAATCCTCACTACAACCTCCTTTCATGCAGTTGTAGAGAGCAATAAGGTCTCCTCTGAGCCTTCTTTTCTCTAGACTAAACAATCCCAGCTCCCTCAGCCACTCCTCATAAGATCTGTGCTTCATACACCAGCTTCTTTGCCTCGACACGCTCCAGTGCCTCTATGCCATTCTTGTAGCGAGGGTCCAAAACTGAACATAGTATTCCAGGTGCAGCCACTCCAGAGTTGACTACAGGAGGACAATCACCTCCCTTCCCCTGCTGGCCATCATGGCCACTTGGGCACATTGGTGGCTCATTCTCAGCCAAGTGTTGACCAGCACCCCCACGTCCATGCAGCTTTCCAGCCACTCTGTCCCAAGCACTGCATGGGGTTGTTGTAACCAAAGTGCAGGACCTGACACTTGGTCTTGCTGAACTTCATCCTGCTGGTTTCAGCCCCCTGATCCAACCTGGCCAAGTCCCTCTGTAAGACCTTTCTACACTCAGGAAGATCAGTACTTCCCCCCAGCTTAGAGTCATCTGCAAAGTTACTCAAATTCTCTCATCAAAATCGTCAACAAAGAATTAAACAGGTCCAGCCACAGTACCAACCCCTGGGGAACACCATTAGTGTCTGGTCACCAGCTGGATTTCACTCCATTCACCACCTTCTCTGGGCCCAGCCATCCAGACAGGTTTTTTTGTTTGTTTGTTTTTAAATACAGCACAATTGAAGGCATGGTCACATTCTTAGATCACCACACATGTAAACATTTACACTTCCATGGATCCTCC